AAGAAAAAAAAACATAAAAAAAAACAACAAAACAAAAACAAAGGGAGTAGCTGAAAGCTTTGGTTTAAATTGACTGATAAGGCTACTGTTGTTGAAGGTTCGTGATTGCTTGAATATCTGTTTGATAAAACTGCTTTGCTCATGTTTAAATAAGATATAACTCAGCTACCTGCAGTGCTTGATTTATTTTTTATTTTTTTGGCTTTTATTCTGCTATCTGCAAATGTTTGTAATAAATAATCCAATATCTTCTCACTAAGATAAGTTGTAATTCATGCAAAGCCACAAAATGGTTGGCTGCATAAGGTGAATGTAAGCTCCTGGTGTTCCCTGAAGCTGGATTACAAAGAGCAGTTTCATTCTGGCTGTTTGTAATGAAAGGATGCTTGTATATGCGCATAATCTTTGCTTGAGCCTCACCTGCATGTATGCAGCCCACAGAGCCATGCAGTTGGTCGGCAGCCCCAGGATGATGACTATGATGTAGAGTGTGGGCTGGAAGAACTGGTCCACCTTACTGTCCACATCACAGAAGGAGATGTTACACATTGTCTTGTGTGTAAATCTCTTGTTGGTTTGTTCATTTGCTTTCAGCTCCTTCCAATTCCTTTTGCAGTTTCACTGTATTCCAGCTTAGGTGGTCCGACAGAGACATACCAAGTTCGCTTTCCCATTCAGCTCTCAAACCACATTTAAACAAGGAGCAGTCAAAGAAAACAAAGGACGCCCATCCAGGCCATTTCATGATTCCTCTTTTCTAAAGCGCAGTCCTTCTCGCAGAGTGGCCTCTGCCTGTCATAATCCTTTCTCATGCCCGAAGGCCTGCCCCTTCGCCTCGCTTTATGAAATAGAAGAGAAAGAATGAAAGAAAGGGGCAGGGAATAAAATATAAAGGGATGAAAGCTGCCTTATCAACCCTGTGCCAGGACTCTTTTGCTGAGATGAGACCTCATCAATCTTTTAGGTATTAGACGTCTGCCAGGTTCAGCTGTAGGAGGGAGAACATCAGTGTGTGTTTGGTCGTGCCTCAAGGTCCTGATGACACATGAACCTCCAGAGGGAGGGTCGTATCAAAAGACAGGGATGACTTTACAGACGGTCAGCATTGTGACGATGACATGCCATCCGTTCCTTCGGAAACGATAGAAACCTGCAATAGAGAGAGGGACATAACAATGAAATTACTAGTCAAGATTAGAGCAAATATGTTAGTAGATAAGCTGATAACTGCTTTGATTGCTTGTGAAGAGGCATTCAATAGTTTTTTTTTTAATGTTTTAGATTTTAAGGGCAAAAAAGGAAACCAGTGACAAATACTTCAATGATGCCCCGTTTACTCAAAGAAAACTAATTTTAAGCTTTGTTAAACAGTAAATTTTTGACAAGCATTCATAAGTTAATAAGTACAAAAAGGACTAAAATCTTTGTATAAATATTGACAGAAATAATGACTGAATTCATGAGATTGTTTAGAAGAAGAGATTTATATTGCACAAGCAGAATCTCTTTCAGTGATGCTACAGACTGTTTGTTCCTCTCCTTGGAACCTTGGCTCTGCATCAGCAAGGCAACCTTTGCAACATTTGCATTTTGTGATGACAGACAAACTTTGCAACCTTCAACAATTCTGAGTAACGTGTCACGTTTTTAGCCCTCTTAAAAATATCTTGCCCTTTTCTGGTGCACTCGAATTGCTTTTCAGACAAAAACTATGTCCACCTGCACAGCCTTTGCAGATGTTCTATTGTTTCCAATAATATTTCACAATTTGTAGAATTTCTCTAGAAGTGTGGAGCTTTGAGCCTAATTAAAGAGGAAGAAACATCAGTGGCATATATGTCAGCTAAACAACATGAGAGGATACAAGGGAAGAGGTTTATGTTCAGAGCACTGCACATGATTTTCTGCACAATAGTTTCCAGCTAGCTTAGTCCTTTCTGAGGAGTTAGAAAGACTTATTTTCACAAAACTTCTAAATCTGACCATCCTTCATGGATCATTTTAAGCGTGTCACATTAGGGCCTTTGAGGCTTAAAGCCTATCTTTTTCCATAGTTAAAATATAATATGCAAAATATGTAATCTAATCAGAGTAATAACAATTTTATGATGTTTTTAATGTCGAAAGAATGTCTTTTGTTTGACAAATTAACCTGCAAGAAAAAGTAAATCTACAAAAGACCTAAAAGTGAATGATTGAGTTGCTTTTTAAGTCAATTTTAAATAAAAGATAAAAAATAAAAACAATTATTACATTTGTTAAAAAAAAAAATAAGAACAATCCACAATATAAAAAAAAAGAAGATCAAATAAAATGTAACTAAATCTCTGTGCAGAAACAAAATCAGTTGCCATATTAAACAGCTGAAACTGTGCTAATCTATTTTCCCTAAAAATACAAAAAACAAAACTGATTGATTTTTGTTCAAATACAGGTTGTAATCTGAAACCTATATTGTGCTTTGTTGAAAAGGCAATTTGTGTCTTATTAATTAAAGTAACTGAGAGCATTTTATCTATGACATATTGCCTACAGCTCAGTAATGAAGAACATAGTTTCTACAAGTGGTCATCTACAGAAAAACAAAAATACTTTCATTATGACTCCAAGAAAAGCTTCATTATGGCTTTCTGCATTTTCCACTGAGTTCATCAACAAACACAATGACCGCATATTTATTGCAGCTCTGGCATCCCGTATTTAATACCAGTACACCTTCATGTAATACATAATTTTCCCCATGGCTGTAATTAAGAGTCTGAGATGCTTTGCTTTGTCTGGATTCAAACCTTTACCTAAAGTACTTTACCCAAAGCACCTGAATATTACAGTAAAGAGTTACGTGCTCGGTAGCTACACATCGTTTTGATGATGCTTTGCAAAGCTTTCTATTTTCTTGTTCCATTTTGGTGCGCAGACAGAGGAAATAATTGCTTTTGTCAGAAAACAGTATTTATTTTTAGAAGCTTATATTTTGCATCACTGTTTTGTATCAAAGCTTTAGAGCTAATTTGTTTATAATTAAGGTATGAATAAAGAATCATTTAGCATTTAATCAAACTGTCGCTTTGAAAGAAAAGAACAATTTAGAGGCCTTTCTTTCCTTTCAAAGAGACTGAGCGAGGCTGCAGCTATAATTAGCATTACCCTGATGTTGGGTAAATAGCCATGAAGCAGCAATTTCCAAAGTAGTCTGGAATGCTGAGTCAGTGTTTATTTCCTGGGTGCAAGTCCAGGTAGAGCCCGCTTAGATGTCTGTCACCAAAACAGTTAAAACAAAACAGCTTAAGTGGACAAAAAAAGGCATTCGCTAAGTCTGAAATGGTGAGCAGTGGCAGCAGTCACACAAACAAAAGCACAGGTTAAATGAGGGCAGCTCGACAATGACCTTTGTTGAGAAAATATCTACTTTGATTGGTAGACTTTTTTGGGAGATGGTTTTTGCTTCGGTAAAAATTCTATGTATTTTAAAAGTATTAGATTGAGCCTTTATGGTATTTTAATTTACCCTAAGATTTATCATCACAGCCTGAGAATAAAAGCCAATGATTAAGCCCATCGCCATCTATTCAACAATAACCCAGAGGTCCATCACTGCTGCAACAAGATCTAACACTTCCCTGGCCAGAAGGGACATAAGGTCTCTCGTGTTTAGGGCTGTCTCTAGGGTTTGTTTTTTCCTGGCGGAACATGCCTAGATAATCTCCAAAACAAGCTGCATGAAAGAAAGCATCCCAATGGGCCTCATGCAAGAGGCGTTAGAACGAACAAATTTGTTCCTAAATCATTACCACGAGTTCCACGAGAACATGTAGCTTTCATCATTTTTCTCCTATTTTTAATCTTCTCACAGTTAGAACAAATGTAACGAGTCCTCCAGACTTGATGTATGAGTCTTCCACAGTCAATCAGCTGTCATCCAAACTTACTTTTTCACTTAATGACTACATTTGTTGTTACTTAGAGAAAATTGTCAATTTTATTAGTTTACATCATTACATATTATGCGACTCTGCATGTTCTTTGATGACCAGTCACTACAGCTGCAGCTGGCATGTCGGTATCCAGGGGAAACTGGTTAAATTTGTTATATCGTCAAAAGAAAGAACAGTTGCTGAGCTCTTTGTGAGATCAAGCTACTATTTAATTAACATCTGGAACAGAAAATTGGTAGAAAGTTCAGAATGGAGGTTCAACATCTTACTGCTTTAACATCTTTTTGTCAGAGTCTTGGTCTGTTTGTCCCTGTTTTTCTTGGTTATCCATTTGTTGTCCTCTGCTGCCCTCTTGCGTCCTCCCTTGCTATGTTTTCCGGTCCTGCCTGCACCTGTTTTCAATTCCCTCGTCAACTCTCTCTTTGTCTCTGTCCCCTTTAAAAGCCCTCCCTCTTCAGTTCCTGTTTGCTGGATCCTTGTCTTACTTACCGTCTATCATCTGCCTGCCTTGTCTCGTCTCTCCCTGGCTCCTTGAGTTTTGGTTTACCCCTGATGTCTCCTTGGTTCTGGTACGTTTGTTATTTTCAGTTGGACTCTGATTCCTGCTTCTGGATCTGTGAGCCTAAATAAACAGACTTTAATTCACCTCTGCATTTGGGTCCTCCAAACAAACACCATTTCATGACACTTTTAACTGTAAGACATGCATTCAGTTCACTTTATGGCGCTGTCTTGGCTTTGTTATAACACTAAATGTCTATATTATTCAAATTAGAGTTTAGCCATTAACATTTCTATGTTTATGCTGTATGTGCCATGGTTTTGGTTTTATCTCTGTGTTTTCGTTGGTCTTATTTTTCATTCTTGTGTTCTAGATATTTTTTTTGTATAAGAGTTCTTAGATATTTCTTGTTGCTCTCTTGTGTCAGTCTCCTTTTCCCTAGCTCGCTTCTTGCCTCTGTTCACACCTGCTCCCAATCTGCTAATTAGCCTGGTCTTTGTTTCTCTCTCCCATTTATTCTCCTCCTGCTCAGTAACTCTTTGCTGGTTTGTCATCATTACTTTGTCCCCTTCGTGTTGTGAGTATTCCTGGTTTTCATCATTTTTGGATTTGTGTAGATTTATGTTTTTGGATTTATGTTTTTGCCTTTTTGCTTTTCGTTAATTAAATCCTTCAAGTAATCACTTCAGCTCTTTGTGTCTGCATTTGGGTCCTTGTCAACCCCCCCCCTGAGTTTTCAGTTTGACACGCTGCTATAAAAGATTGTCTAAGTTTAAGATGTTTGTAAAGTGAGCTTCTCAGGAGTGACAGTGGTGACAGCCAATCACACAAGAAAAGACAGATTACTAATCAGGAGCTTGTGGGTGGTCTAAACTCAGGGAAGCGGGCTTCAGCTTGAGCTGTGTTTTTCCGCTCGGTCCTAGTGCTTGACAAGTGTCATGTACTGTAGCATAACACTGTTTCTGGACAGTAAAAAGTGCGCTTTTAAAAAACAGATTTTTTTTTTTAATTGCAGCGAACATGTCCCCCGTGTCCCCCACCCCCCAAATTATGTTGACGATTTCAGGTTCAGAAAACTTAAGAGCTTTCTGTAAACCTGCTTCGTGAAACGGACCCCTGGAGATGAACACATTGCGTATGGATGGTAGTGCTTTGACAGCAACATTACTGTAGTGCAGTTAAAACCTTCCTAAGCAAATCACAGAGAATGTGTTGGGAACTGAGATGTTCGGCTTTAGCTATTTCCTTTGACTAAAACTGTTTTACTTAAACTACACATTTTGCAATATAAAACATCCTAATTAAACAGCTTTCTAAGAGAATGAAGTCCTGACAGCACTGGCCATTAGAACAGATGCTGGTCAGACCTTTGGAACAGAAACCTTTTTAACCTTTTATGTTGAAATGAAGCTTGATATCTCATTAAAAACCCAGGGAGCTCTTTAAATGTAACATGTATGTAGCATATATACATGGGAACTTCAGCCAGAAGGAGCTTTGCAGATTGTATAACTTCATCTCTAACCAATAAACAGTTTCTATCTTAGTCAGTTGAAAAAACATGCTGCTGTTATTTTGCACATCTCTGATGTTGCTGCTATTTTCAAATATCCATTACTGTAAAAATGTCCATTGCTTTATATTGTTATTTATTCTCCAGGTACACAGTTTTATATTGTTAAAATACGTTACAGTACAATATTCTAT